TTCTTTAGAAGTAATAACTTCAACAATCAAATGAAGACTGTTTGTTCTTATTTGGTCGCGTGCCACGCATCACGTATATCCCAAGCCCTCGTTACCCGCCCTCTTGGTTTTCGACCGTACCCCCTCGGGGGCATATCTTCCTAACCTGCCGCGCACATTTAGCGCAACCCCTAAAACAGGGGAAGGGAGGACGGACGGGGGAAGAAAAGGATGGACCACGCGAGAGGGCCTCTCGGAGCAAATCGCGAGGAAGCATCGAGCGGTAGCCCTTGTCATCGCGGCTGCGTCCCCACTAGTTTGAATGAGTTGCGAGGATGTCCACAACGAGAGCGCTATTCCTGAGTTCGGGAACCTTTCTGGCCAGGGCCTCCCAGATCACTAGGAAATATCGAGCGGGAGCCTCGTCGTCGCGGCTGGGCATCCGCGAACTTGATTGAATTGCGAAGAAGTCTTATGCGAGAGCACCTTTCCTGGGACCTCTGCGGGCTGGGGCCTCTGTGGGCGCGCTCGGGGCCTCTGTGGGCTGTGTCGGGGGCGCCTCAATGGGCAGCGCGCTGGGGCCTCTGCGGGCGCGCTTGGGGCCTCTGCCGAGTGGGGACTATGTGGGCGCCCGTGGTGCCTCTGTAGGCTGTGTCGGGGGGCTTCAGTGGGCAGCGCGCTGGGGCCTCTGCGGGCGCGCTTGGGACCTCTGTAGGCTGCATCGGGGACATCAGTGGACAGCGCGCCGGGGCCTCTGTGGGCGCGCTTGGGGCCTCTGCGGGCTGGGGCCTCTGTGGGCGCGTTTGGGGCCTCTGCGGGCTGCGTCGGGGGCCTCAGTGGGCAGCGCGCGGGTGCCTCTGTGGGCGCGCTCGAGGCCTCTGCGGGCTGGGGCCTCTGTAGGCCCCTTGGGGCCTCTGTGGGCTGCGTCGAGGGGCCTCTGTGGGCGCGCTTGGGGCCTCTGTGGGCTGGGGCCTCTGTGGGCTGCGTCGGGAGCCTCAGTGGACAGCGCGGGGGAGCCTCTGTGGGCGCGCTTGGGGCCTCTGCGGGCTGGGGACTCTGTGGGCGCGTTTGGGGCCTCAGTGGGCTGCGTCGGGGGCCTCAATGGGCAGCGCGCAGGGGTGAGCGCGCTCGGGGCCTCTGCGGGCTGGGGTCTCTGTGGGCGCGCTTGGGGCCCCTGTGGGCTGAATTGGGGGGCCTCAGTGGGCAGCGCGCTGGGAGCTCTGTGGGCGCGCTCGGGGCCTCTGTGGGCTGGGGCCTCTGTAGGCTGCGTCGGGAGCCTCAGTGGGCAGCGCTCGGGGCCTCTGTGGGCGCGCTTGGGGCCTCTTCGGGCTAAGGCCTCTGTGGGCGCGTTTGGGGCCTCAGTGGGCTGTGTCGGAGGCCTCGGTGGGCAGCGCGCGGGGGCCTCCGTGGGCGCGCTCGGGGCCTCTGCGGGCTGGGGCCTCTGTGGGCGCGCGCGGGGCCTCTGTGGGCGTTGTCAGGAGGCCTCAGTAGGCGGCGCGCTGGAGATTCCGTGGGCGCGCTTAGGGCCTGTGGGCTGGGGCCTAAGTGGGCAGCGCGCTGGGGCCTCTGTGGGCGCGCTTGGAGCCTCTGTGGGCGCGCTCGGGGCCTCTGTGGGCTGGGGCCTCTGTGGGCGAGCTGGGACCTCTGTGGGCTGTGCCGGAGGGCTTGAGTGGGCAGCGTGCGGGGGCCTCGGCGAGCTTGGCGCCTCTGTAAGCAGGAGCCTCTGCGGGCGCGTGTGGGGCCTCTGTAGGAAGTCGGGGTGTCAGTGGGCAGCGCGCTGGGGCCTCCGAGGGCACGCTCGGGGCCTCTGTGGGCTGCGTCGGGAGCCTCAGTGGGCAGCGCGCGGGGTGTGGGCGCCCTTGGGGCCTCTGCGGGCTGGGGTCTCTGTGGGCGCGCTTGGGGTCTGTGGGCTGTGCCGGAGGGCCTCAGTGGGCAGCGCGCGGGGGCCTCTGTGGGCGCGCTCGGGGCCTCTGTGGGCTGTGTCGGGGGCCTCTGTGGAACGGGGGACCTCAGTGGGCACGCTCGGGGCGGGGGGGTGGGCCTCTGTGGGCTTTGCCGGAGGGCCTTATTGGACAGCGCGCTGGGGCCTCTGTGGGCGCACTTGGGGCCTCTGTGGGCTGGAGCATCTGTGGGCTGTGTCGGGGGCCTCAGTGGGCAGCGCGCTGGGCCCTCTGTGGGCGCGCTTGGGGCCTCTGTGGGCAGCGCAGGGGGAGCCTCTGTGGGCGCGCTTGGCGCCTATGTGGGCTGTGCCAGAGGGCCTGCGGGCAGCATGCTGCGGTCCCTGTGGGCTTACTCTGGGCCTCAGTGGGTTGTGTGTTGGGGGCCTCAGTGGGCAGCGCGCCAGGACCTCGGTGGGCAAGGGCCTTTGCGAATACATCTTGAGGAAGTATCGAACGGGAGCCCTTGTCGTCGCATGTGGGCCTCCACCAATTTGACTCAATCATGAGTGAGGAAGTCTCGAGCGAGAGCGCCGTTCCTGAGTTCGGGGGCCTTCCTGGCCAGGGGCTCTCGGAGTAAATCGTGAGGAAATATCGAGCAGGAGCCTTTGTCGTCGCGGCTGGGCCCCCGCCAACTTGATTGAATTGCGAGGAAGTCTCGAGCGAGAGCGCCGTTCCTGAGTTCGGAGGCCTCTCTGGCCAGGGTGTCTCGAAGTAAATTGTGAGGAAGTATCGAGCGGGAACCGTTGTTGTCGTAGCTGGGCCTCCAAGGGCGCACTTTTAGGGTCAAGCCAACGCTCGAGCGGGAGCCTCGTTTTCAGAGAAAAAGCAGCCGGCGTCGAGGCGAGAGCGCCTGGAACCGCTTCCGGAGGTCAACAATAATTATTCTCTAGAAACCACTATTCAATAACAACAACAACAACAACAACAACAACAACAACAACAACAACAACAACAACAACAATAACAATTACTAGCACGTGGGGACACTCCGTTCTCACCAGTGCCAGGGTTTTCATAGGAGGCGGGCAATACCCCCACTTTGTGGGGGGGCCGGTTCAAGCTCTACCAAATTTCCAAACGACTCTTCGCCACCACCCACACCCAGCTTCCCGCCCTATGACGTTCGGACACTTCACTTCGTGGCATGCGGACGACCGTGGCTACTATTCAGGGCCCCGCGGCCGACGACGACGGCGTGCGCGCGCGAAGAAAAAACGAATGTGTCCCGCATGGTATTATTTGACAGGGATGATGGCCCTGGCAGGTGCGCAACCGTTGTCGCAGAAGTTCGAAAAAGTTGCTCGCAAAAGCCCGTTTGACAGAAATGTTTAAAAAGTGTTGGGTTTCCTACGAATCCGCAAGAGCGCGCGGGATGAGATTTTGACATTTTTTTGTTGAAAAACCATTGGTTTTTTGATGTTTTTATGTTAAAATCGCTCGAACACTAAGGTTTTGGAAGGATTTCGTCTTGCGCGCGCGAATGTCCACTTTACCTTATTTTTTGCAAGGGATTCTTGAAATTTGATTATATTAGAACAAGAAATGTCATTTTCTATTGTTTTTTGCAAGGGAAAGCGGATTACAACAAAACAACCGGATCCTGTACACACCCTCTTTTCTGAGGCTTCCTCACGAAAATGATGAAAATGTAGCTGCGGCCTAGGCGGCGCAGGGGGGGCGCGCACCAGGGGGCCCAACAATAATTATTCTTTAGAATAAATAATGTTCAACAACAACAACAACAACAACAACAACAACAACAACAACAACAACAATTACTAGCACGTGGGGACACTCCGTTCTCACCAGTGCCAGGGTTTTCATAGGAGGCGGGCAATACCCCCACTTTGTGGGGGGGCCGGTTCAAGCTCTACCAAATTTCCAAACGACTCTTCGCCACCACCCACACCCAGCTTCCCGCCCTATGACGTTCGGACACTTCACTTCGTGGCATGCGGACGACCGTGGCTACTATTCAGGGCCCCGCGGCCGACGACGACGGCGTGCGCGCGCGAAGAAAAAACGAATGTGTCCCGCATGGTATTATTTGACAGGGATGATGGCCCTGGCAGGTGCGCAACCGTTGTTGCAGAAGTTCGAAAAAGTTGCTCGCAAAAGCCCGTTTGACAGAAATGTTTAAAAAGTGTTGGGTTTCCTACGAATCCGCAAGAGCGCGCGGGATGAAATTTTGACAATTTTTGTTGAAAAACCATTGGTTTTTTGATGTTTTTATGTTAAAATCGCTACGAACACTAAGGTTTTGGAAGGATTTCGTCTTGCGCGCGCGAATGTCCACTTTACCTTATTTTTTGCAAGGGATTCTTGAAGTTTGGATATGTTAGAACAAGAAATGTCCACTTTAGCTTATTTTTTGCAAGGGAAAACGGGGGACAACAAAACAACCGGATCTGGTACACATCGTTTTGCCTGAGGCTTCCTCACGAAAATGATAAAAATGCGGCTGCGGCCTAGGCGCGGCGGGGGGGCCGCGCACCAGGGGTCCCAACAATAATTATTCTTAAGAAGAAATAATGTTCAACAACAACAACAACAGCAGCAGCAGCAGCAGCAGGAGCAGCAGCAGCAGAAGCAGCAGCAGAAGCAACAACGACAATGACTACGACAACGACAACGACAACACCAACTGCAGCAACAACAACAGCAACAGCAACAGGAATAGCAACAACCACAATATCACCACGACCACCATCACCACCATCTATCATCATCAGCAGCATCATCAACAGCATCAGCAGCATCATCATCACCAGCACCATCACCATCACCATCATCCTCATCATCATCATCGACGTCGTCGTCGTTAACATCATCATCATCATCATCATCATCATCATCATCATCATCATCATCATCATCATCATCATCATCATCATCTTCATCTTCAGCATCATCATCGTAATCATAAGCATAATCAGCATGATCAGTATCATCATCGTCGTCATCAGCATCAACATCACCATCCTCATCATCATGAGCAGCAGCAATAACAACAGCATCATAACAATCAGCCTCATCATCACAAACACGACAATCATCATCATCTTCTTCTTCATCATGATCCACCCTCTCCGCATCATCATCCTGCTCGGCCCCTCCCATGTGTGGCTGGGCGATGGCTGTCAGCTTGGCAAACTCCGCTTCCCAGAATGGGCCGGCGTAGACCTCCCCCCCAAACCCTCGCACGCGCAGAGGACAAAAAACAGGACGGAGGAGGGGTAAAGAGGGAGATAGGTCGCCTTGGTTCAACGAGCACGATGAGGCGAGGGCTAGTCCGATCTCGACGCTGCAGCTGCACGAACTCTCACGCACAGGCCCACTTCCTGGTGCAGTGTCTCCTAGGCCGCTGTTAGGTGGTCTGCTTGACTTACCATCTGCTCGTCGCGCCAACTAGACGTCCGCACTTACGGAAAAGGGAATGAACGAAGAGACTGAGGAATGAATCAGAAAACGAGCGATCGGTGGGCAGAATAAATGCACGGATGGATTCACGAACGGACGGGACAGGATGGGACAGGATGGGACAGGGTGACGCTGCGGGGAGCGCTCCAGATAAGGCCTTGGAGGGGCTCCAAAGCGCTCAAAGTAAAGCCCCAGAACGCTCCAAGTGAGGCCCCAGAACCGCTCAAAATAAAGCCCTGGAGCGATCCCAAGACGCTTCCGATCTCGCTTCGAAATCTGCCCGAAGAGGCCCAGGTGGAGTGAGGAGCGGAGACAAGTCGAAGGCAGAGGTGGTGGTGATGGTGATATCGAAATACATGCTGAGCTTGATACTAATGCCCACCACCCAAACAGTGTTTGCACTTAGGGGCTCTTACTTCTTTTCTAAGGGGCTGGGCCTGCGCGGCGGTCTGGCGGCTGCGTGGCCGCCGTCGCCGCCGCGTCGCCGCCCCGTCGCCGCCCGTCATCTGGGCCTGCGCCGCCGTCTGGCGGCTATGTGGCCGCCGTCGCCGCCGCGTCGCTGCCCCGTCGCCGCCCGTCGTCTGGGCCTGCGCGACCGTCTGGCAGCTAACTGGCCGCCGTCGCCGCCCCATCGCCGCATCGTCGCCGCCCGTCGTCTGGGACTGCCCAGCGGCCAGGCGGCCATTTAGCCGCCGTCGCAGCCCCGTCGCCGCCTTGTCGCCGCCCGTCGTCTGGGCCGGCGCGTCGGTTCCGCCGCCTTGTGGTCGCCGTCGCCCCCCGTCGCCGCCTCGTGGCCTTGCTTCGCATTGCTTCGCATTGCTTTACATTGACTTGGTTTGCACTGTTTGATGTGCATTGCTTCGCCTGGCTTTGCATTGCCGTGCGTCGCATTGGTTTGCATTGCACCACATACACGGTTTCAAGGCGTTGCTTGCACCACATAGGATGCGTCACACAAGTTGCACCATACATTGCACCACATGGATGATTGCACGGCAAATATTGCACCACATATGTTACACCACACAGATGCACCAGAGATATTGCACCACAGAGATTGCACCACATGGATTGCACCACAAAGTTCACACACCATACATCGCACGTCAGATTTTACACCACCAATCATGTGTCCAAGCAGGACCACCCACCCACCCCCCTGGTGTTCGCGCTTCCCCCTGGGATAAAACAGTGTACAAAGGATATTGCCCCATCGTTCATCTTAAATACGAGATCGTACTGTCCCCGCCCAGCTGGTATCACCCCACCCCCCCTCCATCCTCGTCAAATAAAACAACGCGCGCCCACACGAATCGTACATTTTCAACGATCCGCTGTTGCAGAGCATGAAACACAGTCCTCACGCGCGCGTCGTTTCGCGCGCGTGCCGGGGTTCTTCCAAAAACCCGAGATGTCATGAGGATTGCAAAATCGAAGCCCAAAAAAACACGTGGGGAAACGTGTTGCTACACGAGCGTTCAAAAAGTCTGCGCGCGCGTTCTGGCGAATCTCTTGAAAACCATAGCTTCCGCATGTTCATCAAATACGACCAAGCGGGTCTCTCGCGCGCGTATGTCGAAATCATCCGATCACCATTGCGCGTTTGCTGGGGCGGGGCACGACCCTGTGAACTAATATCACGCGGGCCACTCGCGCCCGTCGGCCGCGCGCGCGCATGTCGAAATCCCTCCATCACCGACACGCGTCCTCCATCTTCGTCAGCGGCGTGACTGGCATCGGCGCCGTCGCTGGCTCTGCCGTCGTCAACGTCATCGTCACCAGCGTCGCTACTATCATCACCGTCTTTGCCGTTTTCGACGTCGCCATGATACCGCGCCCGCCCGAGTCACCGACTCTCTCGAACTGAAGCACCCGCTCCTCAGCGCAGCCTGCGGGATTGCTGGGAAGCCCCCAGCTGTCAGCGCCACCGCGACCGCGTCGGTCCCGCCAGACTAGCTGGCCGCTGTGCGCGCGAGCTTGCGCGCGGTAGCGCGGCCGCAGCGATGCGCCAGCCAGCGCCTAGCGACCATCGCAATCGTCACCGCTTTGGTTTTGCAAACCGACTTGCGGGCGGGTGGGTGGGTGGGATGATTGCGCGGGCAATGGAATTGACAGCGTCAACTTCGGCGAGGTGGCTTGCACCACCTGGATTGCGCCACCTGGAAGCTCTTTTCGTAAAATAGACTCTGCCCCCCCCCCTCGGGATCATCCATTCACCTTTTCGTATTGCAGTGTGCATACGATTTTGCCCGGTCGTCCATCCGATTCGGCAAGAGCGCGCGGGCAGATCTTTCAGAATTGCTGGGGTGAGAAAGTCGTATGCTTCAAATGGTTCTCTTGAAGCGGGATGTTGAAATTGTTTGAAACACCGTGAATTAGGAAGGGTTTCGACATGCGCGCGCAGCGGCCGCATGGTTTCGGGGCCCTCGGATTTGACATCGTTGCGAAACCGTCGAGTTTAACGGATTGCGGCATGCGCGCGCGACGACGCGCGTGCGTGCATTTTTTGGGGCCAAAGGATTCTCGCGACAGCGCGCGCGCAAGGGTGTTCGAACGATTTGGGCATGCGCGCGCGAAGCCCGTTTGGTAGCATTTTCTGAACATGATGAAACAATGATGGTACTCTTAAGAATCCGCAAAGGCGCGCAAGCTTTTTCTCTTGAGCTTCTGTGCTGCGGTTGCGTAGCCCTGTTCTTGAATATGTGTTTGGGACGCTCGATTTGGAACGCTATGTGAAACCGAAGGTTTTAAAAGATTCCGGCATAACCTTTTCATAACATGCTACCAAACGGGCGTCGCGCGCGCATGTCAAAATCGTTCGAACGCCTTTGCGCGCGTGCTGGGGTGGCACGATCCGTGTCAAATAACACCATGCGGGCCACTCTCGCGTCTGCCGCGCGCGCATGTCGAACTCCTTCCAAAACCTTCACCGTCGCCGGCGTGATCTTCATCGGCGCCGTCAGTGGCTGCCCCGTCGGCGCTGTCAGCATCGTCACCAGCATCGCTACTATCATCATCGTGTCTACCGTGGTCGACGTTACCATGATACCACGCCCGCCCAAGTCGCCGACTCGCAATGAAGTGCCCGCTGGGATGTGCCGAGCGGTCAGCGCCACCGCGCTCGCGTCGGTCGCACCAAACTAGCTGGCCGCTGCGCGCGCGAGCATGCGCGGACTAGCGCGGCCGCAGAGATGCACCAGCCAACACCAAGCACTCATAGCAATCGCTTCCGCACGGGGTTTGCAAACCATTTTGCGGGTGGGTGGGTGGGATGTTTGCGCGAGCAGTGGAGTAGACAACTTCAAGTGGAGCATTGGTGGATTGCACCACACAGAGTGCACCACATACATTGCACCACATCGTATGCTAGAACAAAAGGTGTGGCGCACACGCTGGCTAGCATAGTGGTGATGATGGTGATGATGGTGTTGGCGTGGAAGTTGATGGTATCATGGCGATGTTCGATGATGATGACAATGGTGGTGACGATGGTAATGATGCTTGCTGGTGTTGGTGTAGTCCAGATTATGATACTGATACCAATGATATTAGATGATGTCCATGATGATGGTGATGATGATAGTCACGATACTGGGAAGCATAATGAGAATAGTGATGATGGTGATGGTGGTGGTGATGATGACGTTGATGCTGATGATGATACTGATGCTGATGATGACGATGACGATGACGATGGCGATGACGATGGCGATGAGAATGCTGATGATGATGGTGATGATGATGATGGTGATGACGACGATGACGATGGTGATGGTGATGATGATGATGATGATGATGATGATGATGATGATGGTGATGATGATGATGATGATGAGCAGTGGGACTGGAGACAGGTTAGCTAGATCGGGCGAGCCAGCGGGCCCCGCCCACTCCCACCCTCTCTCCTGCGACACCAGAAATCAATTGCAGCACAACTTGGTGTTCGGGGGGGCGGAGTGGAGTGGAGTGGAGTGGTGCGGAGTCGAGCGGAGTGGAGAGGAGTGGCGAGGGGTGGGCTGGAGTGGAGCGGCACGGAGTGGAGCCAAGTGGAACATAGTGGAGTGGAGTGAGCATTGAGCGGGTTGGCTGTCTGGGCCAGACTGGATTGGATTAAAGCGGAGCGCGGTAGGGTGAATAAGATGGGGTGGGCGGGGGTGAGGCGAAGTGAAGTGGCATGACATGAAATGTGATGGGCTGGACTTGCATGGACAGAAATGCGAAGGCACGGAATGCTTAAACGAAAATGCTTCCAGCGTGGACCCCAAACAGCGTAGTAGTGCGACCAGCGTGGCGCAATGCAAAGCCACGCAACGCAACGCAACTCAATACAGCGCAACTCAGCACGCTCGGCACTTCGAGGCCTCTGTTGGGCCTGCCTCGCATGGGCCCTTCCTGAACATCTTGAGGTCTCTTGGACCACCCGCTGCTCGCAACCCTTCCACTCTGGAGCGCATAACGTCCTCAGGTCGGCGTGTGACAAGGGCAGGTCTGCGACGTCACGTCACCCGCATTTCTCCCATCGCCCTCCTGCTCCTCCTCCTCATCCTCATCCTCATCCGCATCCTCATCCTCATCCTCATCCTCATCCTCATCCTCATAATCATCATCATCATCATCATCATCATCATCATCATCATCATCATCATCATCATCATCATCATCATCATCATCATCATCATCATCATCATCGTCATCCTCATCATCATCATCATCATCATCATCATCAGCATCATCATCATCATCAGCATCATCATCATCCGAATCATCGTCATCATTATCATTGTCAGCATCAGTATCACCATCAACATCAGCAGCATCATCATCATTGCTCAGGCGTTGGCGAACGAAGCCGCCGTAGCACCTGAACGCGCCCCGAAGAAAACAGACAGGGACCGTGCGACATACATACCCGATCAGGAAGGGCCCTACAAAAGCCCTGGAGAAAGAAAAGCGACCGGCAAGGGAATACGAGAAGTGGCCCACAGGGGCCTAGAGATGCACTGCTACTGCAGGCAGCACAGCACGCTGCCGAGTGGGCGCTGCAAGCAAGGGTGGCTGGGGCAATGCTGCGATGCCCTTTTTGAGCGAGCTGCTGGACGAAGACTGCCTCGGAGCCTACTGCCGCACCCCACCCTCCCAGAGGACCTCCTCCCTCTCCTGCTCTTCGAAAGTGCTTATACCGTAAAGCGGCGGAGCCAGACAGGAGGGGGGGAAAACGACAAGAGAGAACAGCGCTTCGTAGAGCCGCAGTGCGATGGCTATACCTGGGCCCCGTGGAGTGCCCGAGGGCACGCCTGTTGACTACGTTGAGGGCCGATTCGACGATGTCTACGTCTTCTGTCGTGCCACATTGAAGAAGCCACGCCGCCAACACCTCCACCCCCGCCACCACCATCATACACCCGTCCGCCTCATCCTCATCCGCATCCTCCTCTACGTATCCTCGTCGTCGTTCTCGCCCGACTTCTCGTCCTCGCTCTCGTCAACGACCTCATTGACCTTCTCGTCGTCATTCTCGTCGAGATCATCGTTGTGCTCGCCGTTGTCATCCTCGTTGTTGTCAGCCTCCGCGTTGCCTTCCTCGCCGTTGCCGCCCTCGTCATCCCTACCATCGTCGTCGCCCTCCCCGCCAGCGTCAGGTAGTCGGCCCAATTGGTGCTGATCACTTCGGCGTAGAAGGCCTGCAGTCGGGGCGCCCCCGCTCCTCCTTCCGCCCCTTCTCCTTCTCATCTCCCCCCCACTCCCCTCGATCTTGCTCTCTTCCACTCCCTCCTCCTCCTCCTCCTCCTCCTCCTCCTCCTCCTCCTCCTCCTTAGCCAACTCCTCCGCCTCCTCCTCCTCCTCCTCCTCCTCCTCCTCCTCCTCCTCCTCCTTCGCCTCCTTCACCTCCTCCTCCCTCTCCCCCTCCCCCTCCCCCTCTTCCTCCCTCCTCCTCCTCCTCCTCCTCCTCCTCCTCCTCCTCATCCTCCCTCTCCTCCTCCTCCTCACCACCACCACTACCGCCACCACCGCCATCGTCGTCGTCGTCGTCGTCGCCGTCGTCGTCGTCGTCACGATCAGCATCATCATCACCACCATCACCATCGCCATCACAATCACCATCACCATTACCATCACCATCACCATCACCATCATCCATCCATCCACATTCATTTCCTCATCCCCATCATCAGAAGAAAACACGTGGCTAAACCAGACGGGCACATCGGGCGGGTAGACACTAATGGGCGGGCTGGGAAGGCCGACCCAGGCGGCCAGGTCGAGCAGGCGGGTTGCTGAAGCGTGCGTCCTGCATGAATCGCGAGGACGTCTCGAACGATAGCGCGTTTCCCAAATGAATCGCGAGGAAATCCACAGCGAGAGCGTGGTTCCTGAGTGTCGAGGGCGCGGCGTTTCCATAAATTGCGAAGACGTCCCAAGCTAGAGCGCGATTCCTGTATACATTGCCCCGCGCGAGAGCGAGATGTGGGAATAATTTGTGAGGAAGCATCAGGCGGAAGCCGTTGTTGTTGTTGTTGTGAACTGGGAGGCCAACAATCCAACTTGGTGACACCTCACCTTCCCTTGTACAAAACAGGGTGCGAGCCCCGGAAGAAACACTTTAGTTGAAACATACAATGGTTACCGGGGAGAGGGGATCAGCCACAACTATTCTTCAGAAATGAGAATTCGTCAATGATATCAATAACAACAATAATAACAATAACAACATCAACAACAACAACAGCAGCAGCAGCAGAAGCAACAGCAAAACCAACAATAAACTCTACAACAGCAACGACAGAACGATTATCCTCTTCAGCAGAATCATCATCATCCGCAGCAGCATCATCATGATCGTTATCTGAATCTACACCATCGCAATCCTCTTCGACGACAACAACAACGACAACAACAGCAACAACAGCATCACCAGCATCATCCTTAGAATCAGAATCAGCATAATCGTTCTCATCATCATCGTAATCAGCATCATCATCATCAGCATCATCATTGTCATAATCACTGCCATCATCATCATCGTTATCAGCAGCACTATCACCAACCATCATCAGCATCATCATTATCGTCAGCATCATCATCCTGAGCATCATCATTGCTCCTCCTCGTCCTCCTCCTCCTCCTCCCCCTTCATCCTCCCCCTCCTCCTCATCATCATTATCATCATGAGAATCGCCATCATCATCAGCATCATCGTCAACATCTACATCATCATCAGCAGCAGCACCAGCATTGGCATCATCGACATCATACTCATCATCAGCAGCATCAGCATCAAAATCATCAGCAGCAGCATCTTCAGCATCATCACCAGCAGGATCATCCTAATCCTCATCAGCATCAACAGCATCGTCATCGGCAGCAGCACCATCATCAGCATCATCAGTAACAACATCATGAGTATCAGCATCATCATTATCAGCATCATCGTCAGCATCAGTATCATCAGCATCATCATCAGCAGCATCACCATCACCATCGTTTCTCCTCATCGTCATCCTCCTCATCCTCCTGATATCCTCCTCTCCTGATCTACCTCGTCTTCCAGCTCGTCCTCGTCCTCCTCCTCCCCCTTTTGCTGCTCCTCCTCCTCCTCATCATCCTCATCCTCCTCCTACTCCTCCTCCCTCTCCTCCTCGTCCTCCTCCTCCTCCTCCTACTCCTCCTCCCTCTCCTCCTCCTCCGCCTCTTCATCATCATCATCATCATCACCACCACCACCACCACCATCATCATCATCATCATCATCATCATCATCGTCATCATCATCATCATCATCATCATCATCATCATCATCATCATCATCAGCAGCAGCAGCATCATCATCATCATCCGCCTCCGCCTCCTCCTCCTCCTCCGCCTCTTCCTCCTCTCCTCCTCCTCCTCCTCCCCTCCTCCTCCTCCTCCTCCTCCTCCTCCTCTCCCTCCCCCTCCCCCTCCCCCCTCCATCTCCTCCTCCTCCTCCTCCTCCATCTCCTCCTCCTCCTCCTCCTCTCCTCCTCCTCCTCCTCCTCCTCCTCCTCCTCCTCCTCCTCCTCTCTCCTCCATCATCATCATCATCATCATCATCATCATCATCATCATCATCATCATCATCATCATCATCATCATCTCTTCCTCCTCCTCCTCCTCCTCCTCCTCCTCCTCCTCCTCGTCCTCGTCACCCTTATGTCGCTCGTAAGTATCACCACTCCCTCTGCACACGCCCCGTCTGGTCATATTCCTCCCCCTGCACCCCCCCCCATCCCGCCCCATGTATCCTTCCCTCGTCATCCGACCCACATCGTGCTCTCTCTCTCCCTCTCACTCGTTCTCCCTCTCTCCCTCTCTCTCTCCGCCCTTCTCTCCTTCCGGGTTCGGTCGGGGTGGGCGGGCCCTGACTGGGGTGCCAGGGTGGGGTGCGCGGAGCCCTGGGCGCTCCCGGCACCCCCGTGGCCCGCAGCGCAGAGGGCCCTCGCGGCGGGAGGCGACGAGGCCTCGAGAGACGTCCCGAGGGAGCGCGGGGGGGGGACCTGGAGGCCCTCCTCCTCCTCCTCCTCCTCCGCCTCCTCCTCTTCCTCCTCCTCCTCCTTTCCTCCACTCCACCTCCTCCTTTCGGTCCCGAAGGGCGCAAGTTGAAGAGCAAACCTAGAAATTGAAAACGACACTGTCCTCCTAAAGTTCCCAAATGCCCTTTCCCAAGCCTCTGCGGCGGTCGAGGGGGCGAGGGCCCAGGGCCCAGAGCACGGTCGGAGCCAGCGGCCCGCACGCGGGTCGCGGCCGGGCGGTGGGCCTGCTTGCCACAACCTTTACTTGGGCGCGGGCTGGCGACGAGCCTCAGCTCCCCGCAGAGCCGACGAGCGGCGGGGGCCCGAGAGGCCGAGAGGAGCGAGGGACGGGCCCAGGACCCAGAGGCGGAGCCGACCAAGAGGACCGACCGAGAAACAGGGGGGCCGAAGACCACGAGGGCCACGGTCGGCAAGGCCAGAGACACCGGCGGCTAGCAAGCTCCAAACCTCTCCTGAGTTGCACGGGAGAGGAGCATCTAACAAGAGAGAGAGAGAGAGAGAGAATCTACAACATGAAGACAAGGCATCACCCATCACGACATCAGACAGTGCGCCCCCCCGTGGGGAGAGGAGGAAGATGATGAGGAATCGGAGCCGAATCGCGAAGCGCTAAGCGCGAATGACTTCGCGCCCTCGAGGGCGCCCTTGCTGAAGCAGTCGGGGTCGAAGGTCGAGGTCGAAGGTCTGAAGCAGTCGAGAACCGCACCGGTCGAAGGTCGAAGTCGAAGGTCTGAGGCAGTCGAAGGCCGGATCTCCCCCGCGGGACTCGCCTCTGCCGCCAGTCCAGCCACGACCACGCCCGAGCCGTGCGTTCGACAGGGCGCGTGTTTGAAGGGGCACTGGAACACACAAATAAATACACACAAATAAAAGGATTCCCCATATTTTCCCATATTTTCTGGGGTTTAGTCTTCCCCCCCACTTCCCATATTTTCCCATATTTTCTGGGGAATCGACGATTAATTGTGTCTGTGTGTTTTTGTCCCGTCTTGAGTGTTGCTCACGGGGCCCGGCCCGCCGGAAGACGAAGAGACGAGGCGACCCGCTCGGCGGCTCTGCGGGCCGCGTGCAGCGCACGGCGCTGGCCCGTGTCGCCGGGCCTCGGGGCGCGCCCTGCGCCGTGCCCCCGCTCTCCAGCTCGGGCCGTCGCGCGCGCGCGCTGGGCCAGCGCGAGATGAGAATCAAGAGGGCGTTGCCTTCTCATCCCGGCAGCTCGCATGCGTTCGGCTACACGCAAGAGTGACCCTGGGTAAGAGTGACCTTTGGTGCGCGGCTTTTTGGGGGGCCGCGTGGGGACCAAACCTGGGCACGCAAGCCGTTGCTCCTGCTTCGTTTTCAGCCATCTGGGGGCCATCTGTGCGCGCACCAAAGGTCACTCCGGCGAAAGGTCACTCTTACGTCTAGTCGATACGTGGACAGCCGCGCAAACCCGGGTTGCCGGAGCTCCGCGCAGGCTCCCTGGGTCGGCGGCGCCGGGCCCTCCGCGCTGGCGCGCGGCGCCGCCCCCTGTGGCGCCCGGAGCGCGCCACCGGAGGGGGCTCCAGCGCCGATGCAAGAGATCCGCACGGGGCTCCAGCAGCTGATGCACATGCGGTTTGGCTACTTTTTTATAATTCTAAATATTCTGCAGGGGGGAACCAATGTGTGAAAGCCCTGGGATCACGAGACCAGGCTCCTGGACTGCAAGCCCTCCAGCGGCTAGCAGCTGCCCCAGCAGCAGGCACATGAATGCTGAGGTCCATTTCAGCAGATACAGCACCGTAGGTACGACAAGGAGGAGCTCTAAGAGCCAAAAGAAATACACAGATACGCCAAAAGATAGGACGTGCTCAGACGAGTTCGATAATTACAGTACGACGACGTCGAAAACGACGACGATAATCAGACGAAGACGCCCACAACAACGATGAAGACAATAACCACGAAAAGGACAACGATCACCCCAACGAGCACTTCGTCCACAACGATACCGGCGGCGACCGCCGCGTTGACGACGACGACGACGACGACGACGACGACGACGACGATAAAGATGATGACAACGACGACGACGACGACGACGACGACGACGACGACGACCATGACGACGATAACGATGACGATAACGACGACGACGACGACGACGACGACGACGAAGAGGACGACGAAGACGACAACGACGACGACGACGAGCGACGCACGGAGATTCCCTGAGATCCTGGGAGGCCTCCAGCCCAGAGGCCTCCGGGGGCCCGAAAGAGGCACCGGACGCCCAGCAAGCCCGGCCAGCGAGCCTCGCGGGGCGGCCCGGCGCGGGAGCTGCAGCAGGGGTGGCTGGCCAAGGGAGCGGGAAGCACGCGTGATGAGGGCCCCAAGACAGGCCAGATGAGCCCCAGGACACCCTCGAAATGATCCAGAAGTGCTCCGCGTCGCAGACGGGATCGCTCCAAGACGCCAACCACGGCCCCAAGACGGTGTCCAAGAGGCGTCCGGAAAGCCTCCAACGGCCTCCAATAGGCCCCCCAAAAGGGCGGTGCGAGAGGCGGGGGGGGGGGCGGCGGCCTTCTCTGAGGATGCGGAGGGGGGGCCTCTCAGGAGGCGGGCGGCCTCTCCGAGAGGCGTGGCGGCCTCTGGGAGGCCGTCCTGGAAGCCGGCGGGCCCTTCCGGGAGGGCCCCTGCCTTCGGAGCAGCCCCTCCGCCTCCTCGGATGGCCGCCGACCCTCTCGCACGGCCCCCCTGGGGGGCGCCGCCGCACCCAGGGGCGCCGCTCTCCCGCACGTGTGCGACCAGGCTCCCGAGCGAATCCGCTCGAGAGATGCTCACGGGACACACGGGGACATACTAAGCACTCCGTGCCCTCCTCGGAGGCGTGCGTCCGACCCGAACATATAGCACAACCATCTTGTAATGGATCGTTTCCCGAACGGTATGGCCGGAAGGCGCCCATGGAGCTTACACTATGAGATTTCTCCGCGCGCGCGCGTCGCCCCTGGGGGGGGGGGGGGGGCGACGCACACATAGTGTTAGCATGTCGGGGCGATGCCGAGCTCAGCCCGCTGGGCTACCGTCAGGATAATTTGTTCCGCGCGTCGCGGCGGCGGCCCTGGCGACACGCTGTGCCCTGCAGGCGGATAGCGTGTCGCTCCGCTCCGCGGGGCGGGGGCCTCGGGAGAGGCCTTGGGGAAAGCTCGAGAAGCTGATGTCTGAGGACTGGGGAGTGGTTGGCGCGTCGCGCCGACGCGTGCTGGGCCAGAACTGGCGGCGCAACACAGCTCAGCAAACGCTCCCGACCGAATCTACCCCTCTGGCCCGCCTGGTGCCCGTCCGATGTCCACGGAGGTCCCCGCAGGGAGGTCCCCAGAGGCCCGTGGAGGAACGGCCAAAGACGCGCCCAGGCGCCTCAGTCCTCTCGACCCTCGAGGAGGGGGGCGGCCCGCGGGCCGCCGCCGTCGCTGCCGTGGACGCCGCCGCCGACGTCGCCGCCGCGGGCGGCGGCGGCGAGCCCGCCCGAGGGGGCGCCTCCAGCCGCGCCAGCGCGGCGTCCGAAGTGCCCGCCGCGGCCGAGGTCGCCGATGGCGTAGCGGTGGCGCCGCCAGGGGCGACGGCGGGGACCTGTGCGCGGACGGAGGCACCCGAGCGCGCGCGGAGCAGAGCGGCGTCGCACCGCCGAGCCGAGCCGAGCCGAGCCCGTGACAGCGGCAGCGCGGTGATGGTGATGATGGTGGTGATGAGGGCGACGACGACGACGACGACGACGACGACGACGACGAGGAGGAGGATGACGACGACGATTACTATCATGATGTTGATGATGGTGATTATGATGTTGATGGTGATGGCGATGATGATGATAATGAGGAGGAGGAAGAGGAGGAAGAGGAGGAGGAGGAAGAGGAGGAGGAGGAGGAGGAGGAGGGGAAAGAGGAGGAGGAGGAGGAAGAGGGGGAGGAGAAGGAGCAGGAGGAGGAGGAGGAGGAGGACCCCATACATCCGGCGGCGATGGCGGCGGTGACGACGAGAGGGGGGATGGGGAGGGGGAGGGGAATAAGGTCCTCCTCCTCCTCCTCCTTCTCCTCCTCCTCCTCCTCCTCCTCCCCCTCCCCCTCCTCCTCCTCCTCCTCCTTCTCCTCCTCCTCCTCCTCCTCCTCCCCTCCTCCCCCTCCTCCTCCCCTCCTCCTCCCTCCTCCTCCTCCTCCTCCTCCCTCCTCCTCCTCCTCCTCCTCCTCCTCCTCCTCCTCCTCCTCCTCCTCCTCCTCCTCTCCTCCTCCTCCTCCTCCTCCTCCTCCTCCTCCTCCTCCTCCTCCTCCTCCTCCTCCTCCTCCTCCTCCTCCTCCTCCTCCTCCTCCTCCTCCTCCTCCTCCTCCTCCTCCTCCTCCCTCCTCCTCCTCCTCCTCCTCCTCCTCCTCCTCCTCCTCCTCCTCTCCCTCCTCCTCCGCCTCCTCCTCCTCGCCCTGGCGGCCTTGTCGCCAAAGACCGCGGCGTACTTCGAATGGATGTCCTCCCGGGCGGCCTTCTCCGCGGTCGTGAGTCCGCGAGTCCCCTCCGCGATGGGCAGGGGGCGGGGAGAGGGCGAGGGCGAGGAGGGAGGGAGGAGAGGCGGAGAGGCAGGGGGGGGAGGGAGGCGGAGAGGGGGGCGGCGGAAGGGGGGAGGGCGGAGGGAGGCGGGGAGAGGCACAGCGGGAAGGTGGGCGAGGAAGAAGACCGCAAGGGGGAGGAGGAGCCAGATGAGGAGGGGGAGGGGGAGGCCGAGTGGGGGAGGCGAAGGAGGCGGACGGCGAAGTCGAAGGCGAAGGATGACGAGGAGGAGGGAGGCGGAGAGGCGACGAGCAGGGGGCGCGGCTCTCGAGTCGGCAGGCATGCAGCCCACCGCGAGATCTAGCATCGACCGAAGGCTTTAGGCCAAGCGTGGCAAATCACAGAGTGCTATGCTTCTGGAGTCTGTGCTGCTGAGCTGGGTACAAAACGAACCGCACGCCAACAGTCGTTCACCTCAGGGCGAGATTGTGACGCCCGCATATAAGCGGCACAATGCGCAAGAGCAGAGCTGGCATGGCTGCCTGACGGACGGAAAAGGGCACCCGCACACAATACCATGCGTAAAAAAATGTGTGAACGTGTGCGAATGTACGAGAAGGCCATGCCCAGCCCAAGGGGGGTATCCATCCCCTGTTCAACCTAGGAACTATAGCTCTAGCTGCTCATCTCGTTCTGTTCCCCCCTCCCCCACATGTCCCCGAGGTCGGTCAGCAGGATTGGCTGGCTGGTTGGGCAATCGGCGGAGACCTGGTCTGGCCAGGGCGCTTCCCGCACCACACCACTGCAGTCCATGCAACTGCAAGCTGTCATCACTGCTAAAGGACCTGACGTGCCACTCGTTGGCGGAAGGCCTCGCCGAAGGCGAGACAAAACAGTAGCGCCTGCCCTAGTGGGCTTGCCACCAGGTGGACAAGCCGTTGAAAGGAGCTGGGAGCTCAGTGAGTCATGGATATCCCGCAAGCTCGACAATGTCGGACAGGTAGAGCAGCGACGGCGGCATGAGCTCGGCCAGCCAGCCCGCAGGCCGACGAGGTTGTTATTTCTATGTTCGCCCGTTCGTGCCAGTGGAAGGTGGGGGCAGGATGTGTCCACCCCTCGCTGTGTACGGAGACGCGGCGGCAGAAGCAGCAGCCATTCAATACAGAGGAGCTGTTGCACGCTGCATGCATGCGTATAATTGCCACGGCACTGGTGCGCAGCATTGTGTCGTGTGCAGTTGCTGTGTTCGCATGCCGCTGCCGTTTTCACTCGAGTCTGACGTGCCCCAGCAGGGGCGAAACGTTGACACGCGCACTGAAAAAACACGGGCTTGAGAGCGCCATACGAGTCAAGTGTGCGGGGGCGAGCCTCACTCCGAGCGAAGAAAGCGGCGGTGACGATCCTGGTGTAAGGAATGGAGAAGGAGGGGGAGGAGCAAAAGGAAGAGAGGATGGCACAGGGATGATGACATGGCCATATCATCCCAGAAAGATCGTCTCCTCCTCCTCATCCGTCTACTTCTCCTTCTCCCCCTCGTGTTCCTTCCCCTTCTCCAGCTCCTCCTCCTGATCATCATCATCATCATCATCATCATCATCATCATCATCATCATCATCACCACCACCACCACCATCATCATCATCATCATCAGCATCAGCATCATCATCATCATCATCATCATCATCATCATCATCATCATCAGCATCAGCATCCTCATCATCATCAGCATCATTATCCATTACCGTCATCATCGTCATCAGAATCGTCAGCATCATCGTCATCATCATCAGTATCCTCATCATCATCACCATCATCATCAACAGCATCATCCCCAACATCTTCATCGTATTCATCATAATCATCCTCATTATCATGTTATGCTCCTTGATGATCTTCATCAGCAGCAGCAGCAGCATCACCATCGTCATCATCATCGTCGTCATCCTCATCAGCAGCTGCATCATCATCAGAATCAGCATCACCTTCACCATCGTCATCGTCATCGTCATCGTCATCATCATCCTCATCATCACCCTCGTCAGCATCCTCATCCTCGTCATCATCATCATCATCAGAATCAGCATCATCATCGTAAGAATCATCATCATCAACATCACCATCATCATCATCATCATCATCATCATCAGCATCATCGATCTGCCCCTTTTGTTCCTTCTCTGCTGCCATGAATAACTCCTCCCTGCCGCACCCCGAGGCCAGTCGAAGAGCGGGCCGGGCGTGTCGCCTGAGACTCCCTCACCATGCACGTATGATCCTGAAGTTGGCGGCTCCTTTGCAAAATGTGGTTCTCGCCTTAGCATCGCGCACACTCGTCTTGTGTTCCACGGATTGAGGGCGGCTCCTTTTCAAAATGTGGCTCAAGCATTAGCACCGCGCACACTCATCTTAAAAACTTGCGAGAAATTCACGGGTTGAAAGAGGGCGGTGTTCAAAATGTGGGTCTCGCCTTAGCGCCACGCACATGCGTCTTAAACATCCGCAAGATTTTCACGGATTCCCATGGCTAAGGTACCAGAGATGGTGTTTTTGAATGATTCAGTGTTGTCAGGGCGCAACAGTTACGTTGATTCGCGGTGATGACGTCCCAGGAATGGTGCTCTGGCACGATTCAGGATCGTCAGGAAGCAAATGTCGAGTTGATACGTGGCGTTGGAATCCTGAGAATAATGTTTTAGCGCGCTTCAGGGTCTTCAATCGGTTGTCTCCCAGCGGGGCACTTCCCTCAGTGGAAATGAACCCTTGTATGGGGCCTACGAGGAGGGAGCTTGGAGGGAGGGTCTATCCAAACATCGTTGATTAGTCTTGGGTTTGCACTGGTACTCCTCTTCCTCCTCTTCCTCCTCTTCCTCCTCATCCTCCTCCTCATCATCATCCCCCTCTTGTTACTTATCCTCCTCCTCCTCCTCCTCCTCCTCCTCCTCCTCCTCTTCCCCCTCCTCCTCCTCCTCCCCTTCCCCCTCCTCCCCCTCTACTTCCTGCTGCACCCTCCACCCATCCCTCCATCCCCCCTCCGCTTGCTCCGCCCGGCCCCTCCGCATCCTCTTCCTGCTCCCCTTCTTCCCCCCCTTCCTCCTTCCGCTCCCTCGCCCTACCCTGCCGAACACCCACACCCGTTTCTTCGACGACTGAAACGGAAAGTGAGACGGAGACGACGACGGAGACGACGACGACGACGACCACCACGACGACGATGACCACGACGACGACGACGACGACGACGACGACGACACGACGACGACGATGACGACGACGACGACGACGACAACGACAACGACAACGACGACAACGACGACGACAACGACGACGATGACGACTAAGACGACGACGACGACGACGACGACGACGACGACGACGACGACGACGACGACGACGACGACGACGACGACGACGACGACGGCGGCGGCGGCGGCGGCGGCGGCGGCGGCGGCGGCGGCGGCGGCGGCGGCGGCGGCGACGGCACGACGGACGGACGGCGACGACGACGACGACGACCTTCCTCCTGCCCCCATCACTGCCACTGTCGCTGTCGCCGTCACCTGGGTCGGCGGGGCGGCGGCAGTGGCAGTGCCGAAACGCGCCCAAAGTCCAGAAAGGCATGAGGGTGCAAACCCGATTGTACGGCTGATGCCCTGGGAGGGGGCTGTGCTCAGGGGAGGCTGCAGCACCGCCCAGCGATGTGCTGTCAACGAAACCTGCAGGGTGGGCCCTCTCCATTTGACTGCCTACCAAACCACCCCTACCACACATGGAGACCCGAATTTCGGGTTGGGGGGGAACCGGGTTACATTTGTGCTTTTGTTACATGTTCCCCGACGCCCCCACCACTGGGAATGGAGGGTTTGGGGGGGCCTTCGGGTTGGGTTGGGGTGGTTTGGTGGGTGGTGACTTTCTGTGCACTTCAGCGTCGGCTTCGGCTCCCGCAGTGGGTGCACCGCGAAGCGCCTTCGAGCCAGCTCACCCGAGTCGGTTTTCCCCTTACATGGGTGCCTCCCTCTCCCCCCCTCCCTCCCTCTCCTGCCTTGCGTTCCCTTATTCAAAAGCCCCCCGGCCTCCGCCCACGAGGACCACCTGCCAGGACCCCAGAGGACGCCCGAGGGCCCCTGAGGACCCCTCCCCCCCCCCCCCTCGAGGAGCTCCGAGGGCCCTCGAGGACCCCGCGAGGGCCCCCCCCCCGAGGCTCCCCGAGGGCCCCCCGAGGACCCCCCCAAAAAAAACGCTTCCGGGGGCCGCCCGACGGTCCCCCCCCCAAAAAAAAACGCTTCCGAGGGGCCGCCCGAGGGCCCTCCGAGAGCGGGGCGCCCCGAGGATCCCACAGTGGCGGCGGCGGCCGCGGCCACCCCGAGGGCGGGGGGCGCGGCGCCAGTCGGAGCGCGGGTCCAGCCGAGCGCGGCCACGCCGTCGCCTCCCGCGCCCGCCGGCCGCCGCCGCCGCCGGCGACCCCCCAGAGGTTCGAGGACAGATGTTCGCTGGTCGGTATCGCATCGTCGTCGGGATCTTGCGATTCCTGCCGTCGACGGTCCTCGACGGCGCTCGGTCGCTCCCAGGGACTCCTGGGGGTTCCTGGAGGCAACTCCTCCTCCTCCTTCTCCTTCTACTCTTCCTCCTACTCCTCCTTCTCCTCCTTCTCCTTCTTATTATCCTTCTCATCCTCCTCCTCCTCCTCCTCCTCCTCCTCCTCCTCCTCCTCCTCTTCCTCCTCCTCCTCATTAATCATCATCACAACCATCACATCATCATCATCATCATCATCATCATCATCATCATCATCATCATCATCATCATCATCCTCATCATCATCATCACATCATCAATCATCATCATCATCATCATCATCATCAATCGTCATCGTCATCAGCATCATCATCATCATCATCACATCATCATCATCATCATCATCAGCATTATCATCATCATCATCATCATCATCATCATCATCATCCTCATCCTCATCCTCATCATCATCATCAGCAGCATCATCCTCATCATCATCAGCAGCAGCATCATCACCACCACCACCACCATCCCCATCATCAGCATCATCATGATCATCAACAACAGCATCATCATCATCATCATCATCATCATCATCTTCATCATCACCACCACCATCATGAGGCATCAGCATGAGCATCATCATCATCATCACCGACATCACCACCACCACCACCATCATCAGCATCACCATCGTCATCATCGTCATGATCATGATCAGCGTCATAAGCAGCAGCCTCCTCATCATCAGCATCATCAGCATCAGCATCATCATCAGCAGAATCGTCATCATCATCCTCATCAACATAATCAGCATCAGTATCATCGTCAGCATCACCATCACCATCATGGCCAGCATCATCATCACCATCAGCATATAGCATCATCACCATCATCAGCATCATCCTCAGCATCACCATGAGCAGCATCATTATTGTCATCAGCCTCATCATAGTCATCTTCAGCAGCATCATCATCATCGTCATAGTCATCGTCATCGCCGTCGTCGTGCTCATGCTCGTCCTCATCTTCATCCCCATCGTCATCACCATCAGCGTCGTCATCAAAATCGTCATCGTTATGAGCAGCAGCAGCAGCATCATCATCACCACCACCGCCACCATCATCATTAGTAGTGTCGGCATCATTCTCGTCAGTATCATCATCATCATCCGCATCATCATCATCATCATCATCAGCATCAGCAGCATCATCATCATCGTCGGCATCATCATCAGCACCATCATCACAATCACCACCAACACCACCACCCTCATCACCACCACCACCACCATCATCATCTGCAGATTCACCATCACCATCATCATCATCATCATCAGCATCACCATCATCATCACCATCATCATCATCGTCACAACCAAAATCAGCATCATCAGCATCATCGTCGTCGTAATCCCCCTCCTCACCCTCCTCTTTCTCGCCGTTGCCATCGTCGTCGTCGTCGTCGTGGCCGTCGCTGGCGCCACCGCCGCCGCTGCCGTCGTCGTCGTCGCCTTAGTTCCGCCGCCGTGCCGCCGTCATCGTCGGCCCCTTCGCAACTGCCGCCGCCGCCGCCGTCTTCGACGACGTCGCCGACGCCGTCGCCGTCGCCGCTGCCGTTGCCGCCAACGCCGTTGCCGCCGTCGTCGTGCGCTCGTCGTCGTCGAGGAGTGGGCGCAAGAGGGCGGCGGGGAAGGGCGGCAACGAGGGGGCGGGGAGGAGGAGGGGGAGGAGGAGGAGGAGGAGGAGGAGGAGGAGAAAAAGGAGCAGAAAAAGGAGGAGGAGGGTAGAAAGAGGAAGAAGGGGAGAAAGAGGGTTTGAATGGGTTCTAGGGCGTCCCTGATGGGGGGGTCCAGAAAACCCGATGGGTTTGATGGAAGGTCTGAAGGGCCTTGGGGGCCAGTGGACGTGGGAAGGAGTAGGAGGAGCAGGAGGAGGAGAACGACGACGACGACGACGACGACGACGACGACGACGACGAGGATACAGAGGACGAGGAGAACGAGGAGGATGTGGAGAAAATAAAAGAGAAGGGAAGGAGGAGGGCGACGACGGAGACGACGACAAGGACGACGACGACGACGAAGGAAAGGGGAGAAAGAGGGGGGTAAGTGCACGGAAGCGCAGGACACGCGCACCGATTCACAATATGCCGCTGTGTTTGAGCCAACGCAGCTACGAATGGAAAGGGCGGCCGACGGCGACGACGACAAGGACGAAGACGACGACCACGAAGAGGTCGACGAGGACAAATGTACATTTGCACACGCGTGTACTAATTCAAATGCCGTAAACAAAAACATTTATATATATATATATAATATATATATATATATATGTATTAAATATATATAAATATATATATATACAAGACTGCATTGGCGCTGCGCGCCATGCACCTTGGTCCTTTGGAATTCGCACGCTACCGGGGTGCGAACGTGCGCACATGCGCACACACATGCGTCTATGAATGCATAGTACATGTGTACATATGTTATACGTTTGCATGGATATGTACATGCGTAAGCAAATGGTCAGTGTAAGTATGCGCGCGCATACACATGCGTATATCAGGCGGCGGTGGCCTGACCAGTTGCTCATATCATCGCGCCACTAAAAAGCGCGAGGGCCTCAGGCAAACGTGGTCAGACTACCATGGGACAATGCGTCGCCGAGGTCAGTGTTGCGAGGACGTCCCGGGTGAAAATGGCCTGAACACCCCCGCTCAGGGGAGGGCATATCCGAAGTCAGCCGCGCGAGGAAGTTTCAAGCGAGGAGTGGTCTGAACACTTCTGCTCAGGGCATCCTTGAACGTAGAGTTGCGAGAAATCGCACGCGAAAGTGGCCGAACCACCACGGTGCAAGGCACCTCCGAGGTGAGACTCGCGAGAGTGTCTCAGGCGACAGCGGCTGGAACACCTCAACTGAGAGCGTCTCGGGCCCCAGAGCTGCGATGATGTCCCAAGCGAAAACGGCGGGACCGATGCGAAGCAAGGCGCTTCTGAGGTCGGAATTGCGAGCATATCTCTGGCGAAGCGGGTTAGACTACTTTCCGTTATCTCCTCTTCCTCCTTCCCCTTTTCCTTTCCTCCTCTTCCCCCCCCCCCCCCCTCCTCCTCCCCCCCCTGTCCCTCCTCCTCTTCCTCTCCCCCCCCCGCTTCTTTTTTGCCCGTTCTCCCCATCCCTGGCGGCGCGGCGCGGCGCCGCTCGGCCTCTCCGCGAGTCAAGCGGCAAAGGGTGAGAGAACCCCCCCGAATTAGGAACGGTTTTTCCCAAGCCGCCAAGGGGGCCCGAAGGTAGTGCAAGAGGCGGCGCAGGTTTTGAAATCCCCCAGGTGCTCCTCGGATTCGGCTGGCCCTCTCCGGGCAGGTAGGCAAGGGCGCCAACAGCGCGCCCGGGTGAAATGGCGTCGCGGCCCCGACGGTTTGTATTGAGTGTTGCGAGAAGCTCAGTCGAGGCGGGAGGAGGAACATGAAGAGGATAAGGAGAAGGAGGAGGAGGAAGAGGAGGAGGATGAAGAGGAGGAAGAGGATGAAGAGGACAGATCATGTGGATATCTGGGGTACAGCCGAGGTGTCGCGGCAGAGATCCGCAGCAGAGACTTGGGAGAGTGAGGAGAGCTGCTTCTGCCAGACCTTTGGCGGGGCGGAACGTGAAACATCACGGGGGATTAGGAGAAGGAGGAGGAGGAGGTAGAGGAGGAAGAGAATGAGGAAGAGGAGGAGGAGCTCTTGGGTCCTTCGGTGGTTTGAACGAGAAATGGCCTCGCTGCGCCATTTGATACGACAACGACGACGACGACGACGAAGGCGACGACAAAGAAAAAGGGAGAATGAGAGGGGGAGACCGCTGTGTTGGGATCTCGTGGTGCGCCTCTCGGGGCCCTCTGGGAGGCAGTTTTGAAGCCTCTTGGGGGTGTTTTGGGGTTATTGGGATCTTTTTGGGGCCTCTTGGGGGCCTCTTGGGGGCTCCTTGGGGCCTCTTGGGAGCCTCTTGGGGCCTCATGGGGCTCTCTCCGGGCGTCTTGGGGCCCTCTCGCGGCGGAAAATTTAGTTTTTGAATTTTTGGGCGCCCTCTTGGATCTCTCTTGGGGCCGTCTTGGTGCTCTCTTGGGCCGTCTTGGGCGCCTCTTGGGCGGTCTCGGAGCCCTCCTGGACCGTGTTGGGGCCTTCTTGGGGGCCTCTTGGGCAGTATTGGGGCGATCTAGGGAGCCTCTTGGGCCATTGTGGAGCGCTGGGAAGCGGGAAAAGCGAGAAGGCCAAAAACATCGAAAAACACACAGGAAAATCAACAATTGTAGCCTCTCGGGGCTCTCTTGGGAGGCCTCTTGGGGGTCTCTGGGGGCGTCTTGGACGCGTCTTGGGCAGTCTTGGGCCCAGATTGGGCGGCTTGGGCCGATCTTTGGGTGTCTCGGGGCCCTCTTTGGCCGTCGTGGGTTTTTTTTTTCGCGTCGCACTCGCAGGACAGACACGGAGCACTCTGCAGGAGCGCCCCAAAAGCTCGGGGAGGCCGAAATTCGTTTGGGGGGGGGGGGGGGGCACCGTGTGCGCTTTTCCGGGGTCCCCGGCCTTGTAAAATATATATATATATATATTATATATTATATATATAAATATATATATATATATATATATAAGAATATATAGGTGGTTAAATAGGCAAGGAGGGCGAAGGGAAGAAGGGAGGGGGAATGGAGGAGCGCGGACTGAGGAGCGAAGGGAGGGAAGCAAG